CTGCTATTACTTCTATGAAGCTTTTCTTTTTTAGCACACATTCATGTAATCACTAGCATAATCAGGATACAGATCTATTCCATCACCACATATAAAGTCCCTCATTCTCCCCATTACTCACACTTTCCCCAAACCTTAACTTCTGACAAATCCAGTCATTTATCGCCATCACTGTAATTTTTTTCATTTTGAGTCTTGGATAAATGGAATTTTACTGCATGTGATATCTTTCAGGTTGAATTTTTCATTCAGCAAAATGTTAGCCTTTGGGATTCATAGTCCTTTGTATATGTATCATTAGTCATTTTTAAATTTGGGATACAATTCAATTGCATGGATATATCTTAGCCTTTTCTCAACTCATTTACCGAAGGAGAGCTGGATTATCTTCAACATTGTGCTATAAACAACCAAGCTGAGGCATGCCCAAGATGGATAAATAGGAAAAAGAGGCAAAGAAGTGCTGATTTTGACCATGGTAAGATATCAGGGGGAGGAACGAAATCTGAGGGAACGGTAGAGAGAAGTTTGTAGTAGAAGGCATCAGAGAGAGAGAGAGATAGAGAGATACCATGGAGCAGCAGGGATGGTACAGCCATGCAGCATCATGCAGGACACTGCAGGCAATTCCCTTGGCTTGTGGCTACTTCTCAGAGTACGGTGAGAGGAACCTTTGGCAGCCAGTGCCACTACTGATACTGCTTGAGAGAGAATCTTGTGGTTCCCCACAGTTTTTGAGACTGGTTTGAATCATTAGTGGGGGTCAGAGGGCCCACCTAACCCCATGAAGGGACAGCACATTCCTTTCCTTCCCTTACCCAATCAAGGTGCCTAGTGACCAGCAGGGAGGAATGCTATATATATAATAAGGCAGTTGGAAGCTGCTGAGGTCCACATACACCAGGGATTTTTTTCAGAGGGCTAAGTCCATGGACCCACTGACTTTGAATTTGGTCAGGAAGGTTGGTGGGATGTCAGGTACCCACTTAGGTATGTGGAGCGAGGGCACTGTGCTCCTTTCCCCTCACTCTTTTAAGGTACTAGACTTAACTTGCCAAGGTGAAGCACCAACCAAACTCTGTTGAGTGGGCAGCTGGCTTCTGGAACACCATGGCTATCTCTCTAAATGGGGAGACTCGCACTACTATGAGTGGATTCCCTGCAACTTGTGACGGTGGGAATTCTGTGACTATGTGATAGGACAGGGGGTTTGGCCAGAAATTTGGGCAGACGCTGTGTCTCTCTTCAGAGGCTCAGAGTTCCCTGAGTGCTGGTATAGTCATGTAGACCAACGAAACTGAATAAATGCACCAGAAATTATTCCATTCATCTACAGCCAACTATTTTCTTTTGGATTTTTATTTACTCATTTGAGAGGCAGAGTTATATGAAAGAGAGAGGGAAAGCCAAAGACAAAGGTTTTCCATCTGCAAGTTCACTCCAAAAATGGCCACGATGGCTGGAGCTGGGCTGATCTGAAGCCAGAAGCCTCTTCTAGGTCCCACATGCAGGTGCAACCAACTAATCTTTGACAAAAAAAAAAGCTAAAATCATTCGCTTGAGAAAGGACAGTCTCTTCAACAAATGCTTTTGGAAAAATTGGATCTCTGCATGCAGAAATAAAAAAAAGACCCCTGCCTTAAACCCTATACAAAAAACAACTAATAATCAATCAGGGATCTAAACCTAAGACTTGAATCCATCAAATTATTAGAGGAAAACATAGGGGAAACAATGCAAGGCATTGGCATAGGCGAAGACTTCTTGGATAAGACCCCAGAAACAAGGATATTAAAGAGAAAAAAAAACAGACAACTGGGATTATATCAATCTAAGTAGCTTCTGCACAGAAAAGGAAACATTCAACCAAGTAAAGAAGCAGCCCACAGAATGGGAGAAAATATTTGCAAACTATATGTTTAGTAAAGCATTAATATCCTGAATATACAAGGAGCTATTGAAACTCAACAACATAATGAACAAATAAAGAAATGGGTTAAAAATATGAGCAGGCATTTTTCAAAGGATGAAATACAAATAGTCAACAGACATGTGAAAAGATGCTCAGAATCACTAGCCATCAGAGAAATGCAAATCAAAGCCACAGTGAGGTTTTACCTCACTCACGTTAAATTGACTATCATCAAAAATTAATAAATAACAAATACTGGCAAGGGTTTAGAGAAAAAGTGCTCTAATACACTATTGGTAGGAATGTCAACTAGCAAAACTATTATAAAACACATTATGGAGATTCCCCAAGAATCTGAAAGTAGATCTAACGTATGACCCAGCCATTCCAATCTTGGGAACTGACACAAAGGAAATGAAACTAGCATTGGAAAGGGTTATTTATGCCCACAAGTTTATAGCAGCTCAACTCACAATAGCTAATACAGGGAATCAACCTGGATGTTTATCAACTGATTACTGGATAAAGAAATTGTGATACCTGCCGGCGCCGCAGCTCACTAGGCTAATCCTCCGCCTTGCGGCGCCGGCACACCGGGTTCTAGTCCTGGTCGGGGCGCCGGATTCTGTCCCGGTTGCCCCTCTTCCAGGCCAGCTCTCTGCTGTGGCCAGGGAGTGCAGTGGAGGATGGCCCAGGTCCTTTGGCCCTACAGCCGCATGCAAGACCAGGAGAAGCACCTGGCTCCTGCCATGGGATCAGCACGGTGCGCCGGCCGCAGCGGCCACTGGAGGGTGAACCAACGGCAAAGGAAGACCTTTCTCTCTGTCTCTCTCACTGTCCACTCTGCCTGTCAAAAAAAAAAAAAAAAAAAAGAAATGATACGTATACCTGATAGAAAACTACTAAGCTGCTTAAAAAAATAAAATCCTGCCTTTCACAACACATGGATGCAACTGGAGACAATTAGGTTAGAGATATAGCCAGTTCCAGAAAGAAAAACATCACATCTTCCTTAGTTTGTTGTAACTAATATATAGAGTACAAAAAAAAAAAAGACATGTCTATGAATGAGACTGACACTTAAAGATTCGATTATTGTTTATATCCACTGTTTATACACCTCAGCAACAGTGGTTTTTCTACTTTATTTATTTAGTGGAGGGTTACACTTGCTATTATAAATTCAAAGTATGTAATTTCAAACATTAAAAGAAAAATAAGGAAGGAGGAAAGAACGGAAGCAAGGCAGGGAGAGAAGGGTGGGAGTATCATTATGTTCTTAAAAATATATCTGTGGGATACATGAAATTTGTTCCCATGATATTAATAAAAATTAAAATAAATAAATAAAAGTGTTACATGTACAAAAAGAACACCAAAACGAAAAAAAATAAAGGCGATTAAGTGCATCAGATTAAGATGTTTCGTAGTTTATCTACAGAAAACTCCTATGACAAACTGGCTTGAACACTGGTAAATGTATAATTTAAAAAATATATATGACTTTAAAAAACTTTGTCCATGTTATTTTCTCATGCATCACGTGGATAATTTGTATGGAAACAAAGTCACATAGAAGGAAGAAGTTCTAATGTTCCACAGCACAATGAGTAAATATAGTTTACAATAAACTATTATATATTGTATGAAGGACTAGAAGAGAGGACTTACTGGGTTCCAAACACAAAGAAATGTAAAGGCTAGTTCCTTTGATTTGATCAGTACATACCGTGTATCTGTTAAAATGTTATAGTGTATCCTATAAGTACTACAATAGTTAACTATTATATGTTAACCTAAAAGAAAAAAGAAACAGTTTTGATATAAACAATAAAATTAAAGAAAAACTGATATGAACAACAGCAATAAAAAACAAAAATTCTGAATGATACTAGGTTTAAATTGGGTTAGAACATCCATGTGGGTGGTGGTAACCTAAATGAAGGGAAGGCAGGACAGAAGCATTCGGGAACAGCTGGAGGGAAAGATTTGAAGAGGGACCCTGGTTTCTTCTACTGTGGTTCCTGCTGCACTGAAGCACTCTGAGACAGCAACTGAGACCCCACACACCCGTACTGTGTGGGCTATCAACACAGCAATGCCACCTGAATTAGAACTACAGGTCCACCTGGAAGCTTGGAACCGCATGAAGAGTGACTCATTAATCATCATCAAAAAGCATATAAAGAACTGAACACATTACAAGCAAAGCATCTCTGTTATCACATGTAACAAAGGTAGAACTTTTTTCCCTGAACGTTTTGAAACATCCAGTCCTGTGGAGAGAAGGACACACAGAGACAGTTGTCTCAACAAGGAGACCCCACGCCCACGCCCACGCCCACTCCTTGGGGATTTCGCTGGCACGGGCGGAGAAAAGGGACGGATTCCCATCAGAAGGCGAATTCCAGCAGTGGGCAGGAGAACCTAGAGCAAGAACTCAGAGGCTGCACAGCTCCAAAGAAACTGGCTCCCTCCCAGTCCGCCCTCCCACAGCCTAAGCCACTTACCCAGAGCAGCCAGGTCTGGAGGCCCCAGGGAGCGGTGGTCACATGAGGTGCACCTGCACTCCACAGCAGGTGGCTCAGGTACTGGAGGTCGTGGGTCGAGGCCTGGTCTCCCGTCAGCAGAGAAGCGGGGCTCCCCCACGACGAGGAGTCCAGATGATACAGTGCGAGAGAACCGAGGGTACCATCCACACCCGAAGATGGACCCCACAAAGCCGCACACCTCCCCCATCAGCCTCGGGAGGACCCACACGTCACCGCAGGGCTCGGGCTCCACTGGAGCTGTGAGAGGAGCCTGGGGCCCAGCTGCCTGACAACAAAAGCATGCTTGGAATTCTCTGGGACCACGCCCCACCTGAGACCCTGAACCCCAAACCCGGAACCCGGAACCCGGAACCCGGAACCCGGAACCCGGAACCCGGAACCCGGAACCCGGAACCCGGAACCCGGAACCGCTCCACACTTCCCTCCCCGGAAGGAAGGAAGGAAGGAAGGAATTGCGGCCCAGAGCACCGCCCTGTCCGCCCTGGGGAGGGGCCAGAGGGCGTGGCCGGAAGTGGCCACCCCCACTTCCGCCTAAAAGGCCGTTGGGGGGTGCTGCCCTGAGAGGTGCGGCCTCCATCTGAGGCATCTTCACAGGTCTCTTCAGGTGTGTCGGCGCGTTACCTGGCGTACAAGTGTGGGGACCACCCCGCCGAAACCCACAATCCCTGCCCCTAGAAAGAGGAAGCACGAGAAATCTGCCCACCGCGCCCAGAGCCCGGGCGGGATTCGGCCCTGCGGCACCCCCGCCCCACCCCACCCCCCCACCCCACCCGGCCTGCTCCCGCTCCCTCTCCGCCATGGCGGCCTAGGGAATAAAGGCTTACTCCAGGGTTGGACTCGGCTCGCTGAAGGGGTTAGCCCAGGCCTCTGCAGCTAAGGAAGGGAATCCTCGGGACACTTGAGGGTTTGGGGGGCCCCACGGCGCTGAAGCCACAAGAGCAGAGGCAGGGCGAGGGTCCAGGACCCGCTGGGCCGGGGAACGGCGCTACACGGAACCCCGGACCTTGCGTTGGGAGGGCCCGCTGAGTCTGAGGACTCCGATGCGCCCGCGTAGTCTCCTCCAGAGAGTCGGGGTGTGGGAGCTCAGTTGCAGGGGGAGGCGGCAGGCCAGCAGAGCACGATTTCCACAGCGTGGGCACAATCAGCTTGAGGGCCCTGCTGAGTGCCGGGACCATGCTCACACAGCGCGGCACCCAGGCACCCTGGAATCCTTCCTTACTGTCCCCTGGGGAAGCCCGGGCATAGACGTCTTTCTGACCCCACTGCCGCCCAGTTCCTCAAGGATAGCAGCCAAGTGGAGGCTTCTGGTCGGGGAAGAGTCACAAGCTAGCCTGAGGACAGACAATCTGGGGCTCCTCCAGGGCAGCTCCGGAACCCCAAAGACCCCAACTCGCTCTTGCATTTTCCAGTTTGCAGAATCCACGCAGGTGGGACCAAGAGGTCCACACTCGGTTCCCGGGGCTGCCTGTCAGGTAAGCGCTGACCTTGGCGGGAGGGGCCGGGTCTCAAGTAAAGAGACACAGTGGTGGCCAAGGGGAGGAAGTTAAGGGAAGACTGAACAGCGGCTCCTGAATGCGGGAGCTGAGCTTCCTGACCTGCCCCTGCTCTCAGCCCTGGAGACAGACTCCAGGGCAGTTCTATCAGGCTGAGGCTGCCCCTCATGGCCGAACTCCAACTCCATGGGAGGTGAGAGCCTTGAGGTGAAGGGGAAGCCTCCGGGCAGCAGATGGGAGCACTCGCAGCTCCCACCATGGACGAGGTGAGGACCTCGACTTCAGTGCTCACACGATGACACTCTCCCCCATCCAGGTGCCTGCCCTGCCCGCTCTGCTGCCAGCCCTCTGCCGCCTGCAGTGGTCATGCCTCGGGGACAGAAGAGCAAGCTCCGAGCTCGCAAGAAGCGCCTGCAGACTCACACTGTTACCCAGGGTGCCAAGGCTGCCCAGGCCGTTGGGGAAGAGGAAAGAGAGAATCTCTCTCCCTCTGTTCCTTCCTCTCCTGTTGGGGTGGGTGTTCCCCCAAACTCCCCTGCATCGTGTATTTCCCAGTGTGTACTTGGAGGTCAACCCTCTAGCTCTCTTGATGCAGGTGTTTCTGATGCATGTTCTCATGTAGGTGTTGAAAGTGGGGCAAAGGCAAGCCTTTCCAAGGAGGCACCTTCTGCTCGGATATCTATCAGAGATCCTCTGTCCAGGAAGACCCATCAGTTGGTGCAGTTCCTCCTGGAGAAATATAATAACCAAGAGCCCATCATGCAGGCAAACATGCTGAAGGTTGTCACCAGAAAGTATAAGGCACACTTTCCTGAGATCCTCAGGAAAACCTCTGAGCGTCTTGAGCTGGTGTTTGGGCTTGACTTGAAGGAAGTCAATCCCAGTAGTCACATGTATGTCCTTGTCAGCAAGCTAGGCCTCTCCACTGAGAGTAGTCTGCATGGTAACCAGGGCTTGCCCAAGACAGGTCTCCTGATGACACTCCTGGGCGTGATCTTTATGAATGGCAACCGTGCCACTGAGGCGGAGATGTGGGAGTTCCTGAATGCTCTGGGGATCTATGCTGGGAGGAGGCACTTAATCTTTGGGGAACCCGAGAAGCTCATCACCAAATTGGTGCAGGAAAATTACCTGGAGTACCGTCAGGTGCCCAATAGCAACCCTCCATCCTATGAATTTCTGTGGGGTACCAGAGCACATGCTGAAACTACCAAGATGAAAGTCCTGGAAGTTTTGGCCAAGATCAATGACACTGTCCCTCGCTGCTACCCTGATCTCTATGAGGAGGCTTTAAGAGATGAGCAAGAGAAGGCAGGACTGCAAGCTGCAGGCAGGGCCTCCACGGTTGCCAGGTCCAGGGTGGGTTCTAAGGCCAAGTCCCGCAGGTCCTCCCACACCTAATGAGGTCTGAGCAGTATTTTTCACTTTGGTTGAAAAGGGTAGTCATGCTCTGTGGTACAAAATAGCAGAAACAGGAGGAGACAAAATAGATATTTAATCTTTTACTGTGTTACATTAGTAACTTGTTATATTTGTTTTCTGTGTTATTTTATAAATATTCCTTTTAATTGAAAACTTACATTGTATCACAGTCTTTGTTTCTTAATCTCATGAATCACAAATTTATTTCTGTTTTTCATGTTCAATACTTGAATTTTGTTATGTCTGGACAAATTTATAAACCTTGAGTATGTTCCTTTTACTACAGAATAAGTTAATTTGGTAGTGTGATAGGAATGTTCATGGAAATGTAAAAGAACTACACAGTGAAATGATAATGTTGACATACATTTGAAAAGAGAAATGTACAATGATTAATTCTTTGCATAATTCCTTTCAATGTTTCTTTAGTTTTAATAAAAGATATTCAGTTTATTTTGTTTAAGAATGTTAATTTTCTCTTCATTCACTGCACATGGTCTATTCTACTATATTAAAAAAAAACTCTCAAGGGTGGACTTTCCTCAGTTTAGTAGAATATGACATGAGATCAGAATGAGTTAATAAAAAACAGATTTTAAAACAAGGCTGCTAAAAAATCAAGGCAACTTCCAAGGACATAAATATTCTCAACAGCCGGCCAGATGTAGCTCTGACATCTGATATTTCAGCAAGGTGATGGCTTTATTCTGAGGAGCGTGGCCTCAGGTCTGTGGACGGTGGAATTGTGGTGTGCTCAGTGGTCAACATGAGGATCCTCAATAAGGAGAGAGGAGACTACTCACTCCAGAACAGTGATAAAGTACAGTGTCCTGCCCTGCTGTCTTTCCTGGGAGGCCGGGGCAGAGCTTTCTGGCTGAAGTGGCTCTTTTTTCCACAGGGAGTAGTCTCAATGGAGTGAGGGCCTTGGTGTAATGGGAAAAGCCCCCTTCAGCATAGGAAGAAAAACTAATCCCCCCAGGAATAAAATTCATGATCCTAAGTTAAGCTTTTGTTACTCCTCTCACAACTGAAAGGGCCGCACAGAGCCCTGCCACTGATAGCTCCAGCTGCTAACCTTGGATCTGTGCATGAGTCCCACTATTATAGGATATCTAAAGGAGGTAAGGCACTTGGTCTAAGAGGCCAGCCACAGGTTACCACAGAGAATTCATGTCATTCCAAGTGTCACTGTGAGGACCCTGAGGACTTAAGTAACCATTTAAATAGTGAAAGCAGAGACACCACAGAATCCCTCACTACTGCCATCCAAAGTTGACCACAGAGAATTGCATCCAACTGAGGCAACCCCTGCATCCTCTTAGGTGAGCTCTGCAAATCAAAAGTTATCATATGGAGGGACATTCTTCTGGGTCACCAGAATATTCAGTGTCATGACTTTGAGGACTGAGGGGAACCCACACAGTCCTGTCCCTTTCCACCCTGGGAAACCCCAGGCTGAGGTAAACAGATGGGTTACTCACTTCCAGTCCTAGTAGACACTGGTAACTAGAAGGAGTCCAGATCATGAATGGGTAAGTAATCAGGCAGGTCTCAGAGGTCAGGAGGATCCTTCTGTAAGAAGGACTTTCCTGATGGCTCTGCTGTGAATGTGTCCCCCAAAAGTTGGAAATTTAATCTTTAATACAAGTTTTGGGAGGTGGGGCTTAATGGGAAGTGATTAGAACCATGAGGGCTCCACCCTTACAAATGGGTTAGTGTTGTTTTCCCAGAAGACAATTCATTTTTGTGTGAGTTCCCAATGAAATGATATGTTTGGCATCTCTCTCCATCTCCCTCCCGCTCTCTCTCAGTTCTGTTTTCTGCCATGGTATGACAGCAAGAAGGTCCTCAGCAAATGCTGGACATTAAATCTTGAACTTTCAGCCCTCAAATTTAAAGGAACAAACCTCTATTCTTTGCAAATTACCCAGTCTCAGATAATCTGTTACAACAACAAAAACAGACTAAGACATCTGAGCCAAAAGATAATCTGTTCTGTAATGCTGGAGGAGGCTATGCCACAAATATAAAAAGGAGCTGAAGATGGTATTCAAGACTTGTTCTTAACAGTTTCAAGGGGTAGTCATGGTATGTCTTCATCAGCGAGGAATTAAGTTCATTGTTATATCCAATCAAGGTCAAGCTCATTTTCAAGTGTTGTTGCTTTCTGTCAAGTATACTTGGCTTAAAATATGACTAATGAAAATTTGAGTTTTGCATGTTTGGTATTGATATAATCACTAAATATAGCAGGTTATATCCTACAGCCTAATATGGTTCCCAGGGACCTTTCCCACCTGAAGGAAAGAAAGCAGAAAGAAAATAAGCCACATTCAAAACACTAGGAGAGTCTTATAAATTATTCCTGTGTGAGTGTTTTGGCACTGTGAGTTAACACAGTGCTTGGGACACCCACTTCCCAAATTAGAGAACGAGTTCAGTCCTGGCTACTCTGCTTACAATCTGGCTTCCTGAAAATGCATCATGGGAGGCAGTAGATAAAGACACAGGTGCTTCTGCCCTTGCCACCCACTTGGATGACCTGGATGGGTTTCCAGGCTTCAAGCCTCAGCCTAGCCCAGCCTTGACTTTTGTAGATATTTGGGGATGAATCAGCAGTTGGAACATTTGAGTCTCTCTTTCATGCTGCCTTTCACAGAGATGACAATAAATAAAATGAACACTAAAAGCTGGCACAGGCATTATAGCACAGCAGGTTAAACCACTGCTTCTAATGCCAGTATCCCATATCAGAGTGCATGGCTTGAGTCCTGGCTGCTCTACATTTGTGTTCCAACTTCCTGATAATGTACCTCGGAGTTAGCTGATGATGACCCAAGAACGTGATTTTCTGCCACCCACATAGGAAACCCAAATGGAGGTCCTTGATTCTTGCTTCAGACTGGCCTGGACCTGGCTGTTATAGGCAATTAGGGAGTGAATAACCAGTATGCAAGTTCTCTACACTCCCCCCATCTTAAAAGTATATAGCCATCCTATTGACCTAAATAGGAACTACATGTAAGTTGTTAAAAAATGTGACCTGGATCTTTTCTTTAAAAAATCAACTGGGGCTACTGTTTTGGCACAGCAGTTTGTGCTGCCGCTGGGGTGCTGGCATCCCATATATGAGTGATCATTCTAATCCTGTGTGCTTCATTCTGATACTCGCTGATAATACACCTGGGAACAAAGTGGATGTTGGCCAAAGTACTTGGGTCCCTGCCCACACACGGGAAAAACCCATAGTGAAGAGGAAATAAGGCTGTATGCAGAGACAAAGGAAGGAAAGCAGGACCCTGGACACAAACGTGAAAAGTGGCTGCTTGCAATTAACTGAAGATGATAGCCACATTTATCCTGTCAGGGGGGTGGAGGACAGATATCCTAATCTCTGCTTTCTGTAACTCCAGTCATAAATCTATCCTATAAATCTGCCCCAAGTATCTCTTGTTGTAAACATATTGGACCAAATGAACATTAGAAGGGTGGTCTCAAGTCAAGAAGGCCAGTTCCCCTAAGTAGTACAAAGTCACACAGGCTGCAATTTAAAGCCACCAATGCTGTAATGGTTAAGGCATGATTCTGATGAACCTATAAATATTGAAAAAACATAGGTTCCATGCTCAGTCTTGGGAAATAATTCCAACGAGAACGCCAGTGTTAATAAACCATTTCTGATCCTCCACTCAGCCTCTACTGCTTGTTTGAATCAAGGGAATTTCCCCACACCAGTTACTGTAACAGTAACTATAACAATAGAGTTACAGACTGATAGCCTAGGTGTTATCAGTCCCAACCATCATGGCGGTTTGAGGAGTGAAGCAGGGAATGGAAGATTTTTGTTCTCTAACTCTGACTCTGCCTTCGAAATAAATAATAAAAAATACTAAATAAATTGGGGTCAGCACGGTGGCGCACTAGATTAATCCTCTGCCTGCGGCGCCGGCATCCCATATGGGTTCTGGTTCCAGTCCAGCTCTCTGCTGTGGCCTGGGAAGGCAGTGGAGGATGGCCTAAGTCCTTGGGCCCCTGCACCCGCATGGGAGACCAGGAAGAGAGTACATGGCTCCTGCTTCAGATCGGTGTAGCACTGGCTGTAGCGGCCATTTGGGGAGTGAACCAATGGAAGGAAGACCTTTCTCTCTGTCTCTCTGTCTCACTATCTGTAACTACCTGTCAAATAATAAAATAAAAATCTACAAAAAATATTAAATCTATTGAAGTTAATAGAGTAATTAAATCCCCAAATGGCCACAGGAAACTGATTCACCACTAACATAGAAAATGAGTAGAATACAAAATATTATCTATCAGGGCCAAACCTCTAAACATAAATATAAAAGGCTTCTAACTACAAAAGGCAGAATGGGAGATATGATCCAGAGACCATGAGTAGCTAAAGCTCAGGCTCAGCAACAGAACTTGGGCTCAAGGAGCTACTGCAGTCATAGTTCATGGTGATGAACATTAAACCCTTTACCAGGACACAGGTATTTACCTTAACTGGGAGAAATAGGATTGCTATCCAGCACTCAACATACCCTGAGGAGATGGAATAAGTAATAGAGATAAAGAGGTAAACAGAGATGGGAGGACAAATTCAGACTCTGGGACAGGTGGCCAGGAAGAAGAGAAAGACATGTTTTGACATCATTTGTAAATTATGGATTTATCAAGAATGATTTTCACTTTTTGTAGTAGTCAGTGTGGAGTACACGTGCATCTACTTCCCTATCTAGCCAGTGCTATGCATTATTTCATTAGGAAATACAGCCACAGGGCTCTTCATTATTCACAGGCTGTATTGAGGATTCCCTCCCCCACCCCTACCTGTACCCCTCCACCCCACAAAAAGATAAAGGACAGAGTACAATGTCTGGATCTACAAAAGCCTTCAAGATTCCTGGGAAAGTTTATAGGTAGCAAGAAAAAAAAGAAGTAACAATTGCCTTATACTTCATCACTAGTATCTGGCCTCTTTTAACCAGTTCTTGGCCTGGAGAGTTCCCCTCCATAGAAGAGTTTTCAGCAAGATTCTCCCAACCTTAATGGTGACCAAAAACAAACAAACAAACACAAAAAAACTTCAACAAGGTAGAGTGAGGGGTGAAAATAAGAGGTAAGGACCACTGCATGGCTGTACTTGGCCACCAATGCGGTATGTGGTGTGTATTCAGGCTTGAACATCCCCACACCTGCACTGCGACTACCACCATGTGGCCATTTGACAGCCCGCCATGGACAAGCAGGACTCCTGAGCTACAACATGCAGGAGAAGGACATACAATGCTCTTTCAGTGCCTATGGCCAAATCCTTGAAGTAGAATTCAAACACAGGTACAGCTTCATGGAGTTCTAGGA